TAATGAAGCCTATGCAGTCATTTAAAACAAGCGTAATAGATGTGGAAAAATACACAAAAACCAGTTGTTCTGAGAAAACGCAAAATACGGAGCAAGATATGTAAGATGATCGTGTGTGTGTGTGTGTGTGTGTAAATGCAGAGAAAGGAGATTTGCCAAACTGTTACCAGACAGACCAGAGCTGAAGGAAGAAGTAAACATCTTTCCTATGTATTCTAAAGTCTCCTGGAGTACTTGAATTTTTTACAGAAGAACCTGTAAACTGGTACACGCCTGACACACACGTCAGAGAACAATTTTAGGGGGAAAGAGCCACATTAAGAGTGTGGGCTCTGAACTCAGACTAACTGCGTTAGAATCCCAGCCCCACACTCGGCCTGCTAGGAGGCCTTGGGCAAACAGCTTCAGATCGCTCTGTGCCTCAGTTTCCCCATCTGTTCAGCAGGGATAATGGGAGTGCCTCCCTCACATGGACAGAGAAAGGAACCTCTGCACTGGTGTCCGAGGCACTGGCACCCACTGTGGACCCACTCACCAAGGATCATGGAGCAGCGCTGGGCAGGTTCTTGGCCCGTGAGGAGCGTGAAGTGCTCAGGGTAGTAGAACTCCAGGGCTTCCAGGAAGGCCTCATAGCCCCTCTTGCCACGGCAGCGCAAGATATCCATCAGGCGCCCTGAGGAGAGGCAAAGGGTGCCCAAGGGTCAAGATGAGGGCTTCCCCCAGTGCCTAGCCATTCTCTTCCCCTCCCCTCCAACACTCCAGGGCCCACGTTCCCCAGATTTTTAAATCAGTGACACACACAGGAGCCTGTCTCAACACATCATGGAGGAGAACCCGTCTGCCACAGCCAGGAGAGCCAGGACCCACCCCCTCCATGGTACCCGTGTTTCAACAGCTCCCCAAGCCCCTGCCATCCCCCTGACAGCCCCTGCGTCCTCCCGACACACACACAGATACACGGCCAGCAAATGCAGCCTGCCTTTTCAATGGCAAGGAGAAGCCCCCTCCACCTCTAAACACAAAGTAAAATATTTCTCTCCTTGGCCAATGCCTGAAATTCCACTAGACCCTCATCCCTCTGCCAGCTCTGGTTCAAAGGCACAACTTATGGGAGAAGGCACCCTCAATAATACTAAGATGGGTCTAGAGCACTTGAGGAAAAATAACTCTTAAGCAGTGAGTGGCACACAGAAGGCAAGGGGCAGAAAGAACTGAAAAGATGAAAGGATACAGGAAAGATGCCAAGTCCACCAGCTGTGACCAGGAGGTCCCAAGCCTATCTTGCCCTGGTAATCATAGACAACTCCCTGCTCTAAGGTGGGCCCAGGAAGTGGGAGAAAAACCCAAGACAGACAAAACCCAAACGCGGTGAGGGCACGGCGGACACGCTGGGTCGTAATGGTGGTTCAGGAGAACATAGAATGGTAGGCACAACAACTACCCCACTCTACGGATGTGGAGACCGAGGCCCCGGGAACCAGAGCTTTTGGCCTCGCGCTCCAGGACTCTGTGCGCGACGCTCAAGCACACGGCTGGCCCCGAAGAAGGCCCCAGGGAAGGCCCTGGGGCACCGCCCGCTCAGGCCGGACCCCGCGCGCCCCACCACGGCTCACCGGTGCGGTTGGCACGGCACGGGAAGCGGTAGGTGCTCAGCACCTCTTCCTCGTCCTGCTCGTCGATGACCCGGCATTGGCGCAGATACGGCGTGAGCTTGGCCGGGTTGAGGGCGCGCGTCAGCCGGTGCCGGACGCTCTCGATCCGCTCCCACAGCGCGTCCTCCTCCGCCTCGGACCCCGAGCCGGCCCCAGCCTCCTCCTCGGCCTCCCCCGCCTCAGCCCCTCCCGGCATGGCAGCGTCCTGGGGATCTGCGGGCCAGCGGCGCACAGGGGTCAGCAAG